GTTTGGTGACATTTCTCTTTTGTCTAAGAATAACTGGGGGTACAAGAGGCCACCCTTCCTTTGTAGCTATACATGACCGAGTGGATATGGGCGTGGCTATGAGGGTTTGACTGTTACTAGCATGCAAAGGGGAAGGCTCCTTGGCTTTCCATAGAAGCATGGAGGTGAGCCTACCTGAGGGTTCAGAACGGCGAGGGGACAGAGGGAACCGGGCAGCTCTATGCCCCACAACTCATTCTGCTTTTCCAGTCTCGCACATCCATCAGATGCTTTCACTTACTCTGCAAATTAAAAAGTCACATACGAAAACTGCAGTTTGTGTTGACTTAGTCCACATTTATTATTACTTTCCTTTACAATTAGTGGGAGAGGCCGCTTTCTCGAACCTGATTTTGTTCCGAGCGGGTTTTTTTAATCATGCAAATCACCTCTAGCGGTTTTGTTTCGGATATGAATGTAAATCATTACTAATGGTAAGTTTCATCCATGTATTAAAAATGACACTTTATGTAACAATTGGCTGTAAGCACAACAATAAAAAGGATGTAAGTATTTATTTAATGTCGCACTAAATTAGTTTGATCTTTACCCCTAGTCATTTCCTTTTTGGAAATGATTGTTAAGCTCCTGCAAAATCCAACTGTTAACCACACTGGGATCTAAAATAGCAGGAAGTTTAAATCACTCTGAGCTTAGAAATCAAGAGGCAGTGTCTTTTAATTCTATTTCATGGTGAATTTTAAGCTCTCAGTTCTTCCATCACTTCACTACTGTTCTTCAACCAAGTTGATACAGCCAAACCCTGAAGGAACATCCCGGAATTTTCATTATATTTACAAATGCCCCAAACTCTTTAAATGGTGTACTGTAAACTCAGTGTGTGACAATCTTGATGCTGCGTGAGGCACAATATTACAGAGTGGCAAAGGGCCCAGACTCTGAGGAATGCATAGAAGTTACTGGAAACAATGCCTGGAATAGAGTAAGCACCATCTAAGTGTCTGCTATTATTTTCTATTTTAAAGGAAATGAGTCCCTGGTGTCCACCCCCCCCCCCCCCCCGTGTCCCTCTTTCATGCTGTGCCACACACATTTGTCCTTCTCAGGTTACCCCATCACCCTACTCCAAAAAATGTTATGACTTATCACATCTGGTCTATCGTGAGACTGAAATTGGGGAAAAAAAAATCAAGGCTTTCAAGCCAACTTTCCTTCAGAAGAGCTTGTCCTGAGGAGTATTCATGGTTCCTGGAGATGGGATTTGAATTTTTCTTCTGCAAGTCAGCTAAGTGGATGACAGTGCTCTGGGTCACAGACTGACTCCAAACGGGTGGATCTCTGCAGTCTTTGGTGGCCTTTGGGACGTGATGTGACAAGTATCATCCAATTGCCTATCAACCAATATTTTGATGGAAAGCTTTTCTGGTTCCTCATTTTAAACCCAAACCTACTGGGGCACCTGGGTGGCTCAGTGGGTTAAACCTGCCTTTGGCTCACCTCATGATCCCAGGGTCCTGGGATGGAGCCCTGCATCGGGCTCTCTGCTCATCAGGGAGCCTGCTTCCTCCTCTCTCTCTCTGCCTACTTGTGATCTGTGTCTGTGAAATAAATAAAATCTTTTTAAAAAAATCATTAAAAACAAAACAAACAACAAAAAAAAACCCCAAACCTAACAGTCCTGATGGTACTTCAGAAAGTTAAAGTGTGTGGTGGTTTTTTTGTTTGTTTTTTAATTTTTTTTAAAGATTTTATTTATTTATTTGACAGAGATCACAAGTAGGCAGACAGGCAGGCAGAGAGAGAGGAGGAAGCAGGCTCCCTGCTGAGCAGAGAGCCCGATGCGGGGCTCGATCCCAGGACCCTGAGATCATGACCTGAGCCGAAGGCAGCGGCTTAACCCACTGAGCCACCCAGGGGCCCCTGTTTGTTTGTTTTTTAAGAGTTTATTTATTTATTTGACAGACAGAGATCACAAGTAGGCAGAGAGGCAGGCATAGAGAGAGAGGAGGAAGCAGGCTCCCCACTGAACAGAGAGCACGATGTGGGGCTCGATCCCAGGACCCTGAGATCATGACCTGAGCCGAAGGCAGAGGCTTTAACCCACTGAGCCACCCAGGCGCCCCTAAAGTGTGTTTCTAAAATACCGATGGGGGATGTCACATGATTATAAAGCTGCTAATATATACATAGTCACAGCATCTAACTTGTATAAAATCCTATTGTTATTCTAAATACAACTATCAGAGTTTCTTTCAGAACAAAAACAATGATCATCCAGATTGGGAATAAGGAAATAATGCAATTGTTTATAGTCAAACTAATCAAAGTGTGTTTAATGTTTTGTAAAATACTACTAGCAGGGAAATGTTTCAATCAACAAACTTATTTATCCAGAGGTTACAGATAATGCCATTTGACAGGTTTTTCTCAGTAGCATTTTTAGACAATCATCATTGCCTCTTACCACTGCCTCTACTAGGCAGCCCCCAATTTACAAAATAGTTGAACTCCTAAGTGTGAAATTCATACAGCAGATCCGCCTCCCCTCCTCTCCCCTTTTAAGGTCATCAAGGGCATTTAAAGAAATGAAGACACTTTGTATCCTATACATGTATCCACAGCTTGCTTTGTGCGACTCTAAGCCTGACCCCCGTGCTGCCAGAAAGCTGCTTTCGAAACACATCACTAGAGCTGAGGACATCTAATGTCTGCGCTGCCCAGCACCCGGGTACTTTAATGGTAACATCAACCCTGGTTTTCCTCTGTGGATTCACCACTTCCCTATTCTCAAGCTATGGGGGTTTAGTTAGAAGTGACCTCACCGCCAGGTGCCAGCGTGGGTCTCCATTACCTTAAGATGATCAGTGAATTTATCCCCGAACCCCAGCTTCCAATGGCCATTCTGATTGGTTCAGGGATGGACACATTAACCAACTGGAGCCAATGGGACACAGAACGACCTTTGCTGGGCATTCAGTGAAGAAGGAAAAAACAAAGTTTTCCATCTCTCCTATGGGAGCAACCAAAAAAGAACCTCTCTCTTTCCTTAGAATGAGTGGTAGGAGAAGGTGAGGTCTGGGAGGGCGTGTGGCAGCCATGTTGCTAAGAAAAGAGGAGAGCCTAGGGCCACTGGGGGTGGGAAGCATCCACCCCACTGTGTGGGGCCTGAAGTAGAAGACAACACTGCAGAAGCCAGGCTGTTTCAACTAGAGCTGGAAAGACCTGAACCATGGGGAGTATAGCATGAGATTTTTGATCAAGCTTCACAGGAACCAGGCACAACTTTGGACTTTCAGTTACGGACGGAGTCAGTCTATTTCCTTCAATGTTTGTCAGTCTGAGTAGCATTTTCTGTGACTTGCAACATGAAGAGACCTAAGTAACGCAGGCAAAATCATCCAGAATGGAAAGGAACACTTGGGCTCCACAACTTGTATCCCCCAGAGTTCCATGGTGCTACCTCAACCATGATGGGGAGTGGAAGGAAAATGAACCATGCCCAGGCTGTCCGTCAGTAAAACAGGGAAGACATCCAAGGATGGCTTCCGTGTTGAAGCCAGGGAGGAGAAGTAAAAGAAGTGAGAGACACAGCTTGGGTCTTTGGAGTTCTGCTCAGGCATCCCAGAGAGGAGAGTCTGAGTTGGCATCACTGTCTTCTTCAGCAACAGCTCAATAGTAGTCGGGTATTTGGGAATTAGCATCTGTCTGGTTCTTCCAATTGGTTGGTAAGGTAATTACGAAAAGATGTCTAGTTAATAGAAGAAATCGGTTGTTAATGGGAACTATTCTTTATCTTAAAAAAAAAAAAAGAGAGATTGCTTATTTTCAATGCAGACAAAATAGATTTGCTGTGCCAAAAAAAAAAAAAAAAAGACATGAGAATAAGTGTTTCTCAGTGGACGCTAGATTGGTAAACCACTCTTTTAAATAAGTACTATATTTATTCAATTATCATTTCTGAATTTCTCATTTATAAATAATTTTTTGTTAGACTTTAAGGGCCACAATTAAATGTTTTGCCTTGAATTTAATACTAAGCATGCCTGAGATGTTTTCCATGGGTTTTTTCTTTTTCACAAATTATTGCTCTGCCTTGGTAAATAAAATGGAAAGGCAAAAGAATGAGACCTGTGGACAAGGAAACATTCCTTTATAATAAGAAAAAAAATATTCTTTCTTTGTCCTTTCTGAATTTAGAAATTTTTCCCTATATAATACTGAAATGTTTAACAATTCATAAAAACATAAGCATCTACATTTAAACACAACCTTAAATATAGCCCTGTAATTTCTACCAGGAAACTTGTAAAATATGATGAATATACATGCGTGGATACTAAGAGAGACCATTCAACATTCACATAGAAATGCAGCATTACATACAATATAATAAATATCCAGGATATCAAATCCACAAATTGATCATTATTTTGATTTAGATTCTCTTATCAGTTAACACTTTTACTGCATAATTTATTATAATAACCTTACAAGTTAAACATAACTAATTAGAAGCAGAACTTAACTAATCTGCTGAAATAACACAATTCTCAATATTTTGCAGCATATTTTAACCTATAACATCTAAAATTGTCATTTTGACAAGAAAAACACATCCATATAACTAACTACTCAATTAACTTCAATGTTTAAAAAAGGTATGGAAAGAAACAGAAGCTAATCTTATTTCTGAGATAATTTTATTGCCCTTGCTCTTGGGCTTTGGCAATAAGTGTCTCAAGTTTCAATATATATCATATAACTTAAATATTGTATTTACAAAATATATAACTTTTTTAAGCAAAATACTATACAAAATACTGTTTTTACACATTTAAAGGGTGCTTTCCCTTACAATGTATGAGAGCCCTTTATGTTTTTACCTTTAATTTTCCCACCTGCTTTTAAAATCCCTCTCTTCCCCATTATTTCTGAGCTGGGGTTTTAATAGTAGCAGCAGGTCTATCATTAAAGAACGAAACCAACAACACTATATGTTAACTAACTTGAATTTAAATTTTTTAAAAATGAAGCCAAGGATAGAAAAAGTGCTGTATATCTGACTGAAATTTTTCTAGATAAATTCTCCTAGTTAAAAGGCACTTAAAATCCAAACCATACATTTTACTTTTTACGTTTAGATTCTTCCCTTTTGTCACTAAACATCTCTAGCAAACACTTTTTAGGCACACAGTATCACTAAGGGAAATTCGTTTTAATTGCCCTTTTTTCGAAATGCATGAAAGGGAAACTAAGCACCCAGTACTTCTGTTAACTTTCCGGCATCTGTTTCTATGCGCGAACAGTATGATTTCTTCATCTAAAATGTTGAAAGAATAAATGAGATCCTGTTTACTGTTCCTTGCTGCTAGAAGTGTCTTTCAAAAACGCCTAATATTCACCCACTACTGCTGAGTTCCGCAGCTGAGTTCCACAATCCAGATCTTTATCCTGAATATGGACCAGGTCTTCCCGTGTGAAGGCTCCTTCCTGTTCTTTCTTCTTCAGGAGTCAGATTATCTTCCTGGTGTGTCAATATATATTTCTAAACCAGCAAAAAATGAACCCAAACCTTGTCAACTCTGCTCCTTCCTCCCCCAAAATCCATGCGCTCTGTGTGTGATCGGCTATCTGTTGGGTAAAGGGAGCTCAGCGCCAAGCGCCAGGGTCTGGGACTTAGAGGAGGCAGGGGTCAGCTTCACCAGGCCTGCACGGTGAGAAGCTGGCCGGAGGGGCTACTTGCAAGTGTGGACGTCAGTCATGCTTTCACACCTCCTGCAGCGGACGTAGCAGCACCAAATAAACTTGCACTCGCACCTCTCCACGTGCCTGACCACGTGGGTGTTGTAGCCTCGGCCACAGCAAAGGAGGTTGCAGCCGTCCGCGCCCTCCGACGTGCGGTTGCATTCTCTGCCTTGGGTCCCGGGGATCCCTAGTTTCTTATCCTCAACACAGTAATTGGGAGACTTATTAACGTAGAGGAGATCATCCTTGCGAATGGGTATTTTCTTCTGATCTTTGTCTCTTCTGCGCATTTTCCTCTTTATTTCGTCCGAGATTTGGACACTGTTTTCGTATTTATCCTTCAACAAATGGCCAATTTTTTCGAAAGAAGACATAGTTTTCCAGCACGTTTTCACAGCGCAGGAGCCGGAAACTCCGTGACATCGGCAATCCACGGACATCAACTTGGCGACAGCCTGAAACCAACCGTAATGGTATTAAACAGCATTCGTGAAGGGTTTTCCCTCCGCGCCCGAAGCCTGACTTGACCTCATCCCTTCCCTTTCTGGGTCTGCTTAGCCCTGCCTAAAGTTGATCGCTTTGAACGCGAAGGCTCTTTACAGTTGCTTCAGGGTTCAAGTGTTCTGTCCTTCTCTTGACCCTGCCGAGCAAACACTCCCAAGTCTTGAAGTGGTGGACCAGGCTGCTACTGTTATCGGGGGGCGATCTGAGACAATAGAGGGAAACCACTTCTATTTCTATTTCTTTGTAGAATTCTGGGTGTGAGAGGATGCCCACGCGTACTTCCCTGTTCCTGACACCAATCACCTTACAACTCAGAGTGCGCGGTTCGTGGACCGGCAGCACCGACAGCCCTCGTGGGAAATGCAGACTCCCAGGCCCCACTGCGGACCCACAGCACCAGAATCTGCATTTTAATAAGATTCTCCGGTGACTCCTACGTGCATTAAGGTTGGAGAAGCACTGGGAGGGCAGGTGTCCTGGGCGCGCACGTGCACAGAAGCATCAGGCGAATTTAACGAATAACCAGGGCTCTAATCCCTGAGATTCTGATTTAACCCGTGGAGGTGCGGTCCGGACAGCGGCGCTTCCATAAAACTGCTCAGATGATCCTAACGGGCATCCAAGCTTGAGATCTACGGAACTGAGAGCTCCGGCGTTTGATCACTGTAAAAGTCCCTTAAGTTCACGTGGGCGTGGGGGGTGGGAACCGCGTTATCCTCTGGTCACAGACCACATGAGAAACCCTGACTAATCAACTTAAGTTGGTCAGAAGGAGAAGGGGCTGGAGAATGTGGTTGCTCCCAGCACATTCTTCCCCTCTTCTGGAAAATTAACTCAAAACATATGTCCTATTCCTGATGGATCGGTAGCACCATCCCCTCATAGCAGAGGGGTAATATATGTATGTAACTTTTCAATTCAAAGTGCAGAGTTTGGTTTATTCAGACTGAGGAATTCAATGAAATTACGTATATCCATAAGAGCCCACTGCCTGGCCCACATTAGAATCTAAATAAATATCCCCTCTCCCGAAAAGAAGGAAGAAGGAAGAAGAAGAAGAAGGAGAAGGAGAAGGAGAAGGAGAAGGAGAAGGAGAAGGAGAAGGAGAAGGAAGGAGAAGAAAGAAGAAGAAGAAGAAGAAGAAGAAGAAGAAGAAGAAGAAGGAGAAGAAGAAGGTGGTACAGGGAGAGTTGAGAGAAAAATTTGAAAAGGGGCTAACAGTGCAAAGGCAAGGTAGAGATTTCAAGAACTTTAGGGTTCTGCTGTCTTACACACCGGGCTAGTCAGCACAGCTTCCTTCAGTCCCCAGAGGATGGCAGAGCAGATTAATAAATCGCTAGGGCTAGCTCTCGTGTTGACGGTCTGTCAACATGCTGGGTAAAATGAAAAAGTGATCTGTCTGTTCAATAACGTGGAAATTATGTGTGTAATCTCACCAAAGAAAGGAAAAACTTCACCGCTTAAATTCCACTTACACTTCTTATCAAAACTATAAAATGACAAGGGTTTATGCTTGGCTATTTTATGCTAAACCCGACACCGACATGTTTGTGGAATGTTAGGTTTCCTAACAAATTAAAGTTTCTGAACTATCTAATGAGACAGAATATTTCGGACAATTTATCATAGTTGCAAACTTGAGTGAGAGCATATGGTATTGATTTGTGTAATATTTGATACTTCTTATTAGTGTTTAAAATAATAAACAGGATAATATTTAAACCCTGTCCTTTATAGAAGAGAGCACATATGCTTTTTGTGAATTCACAAAACGGAGAAGCAAGTAGCTATGTCTATTTCTTATTAACGCCGGGCAAAAGATAACTCTCAATGATAATGAGAGCAATTCATAAAGTATGGCACACAAAAAAATAAAGTATGGCGCAAACGCTTATTTGCTTAAATTTATGGCATTCGATAGTCACAAAGACTTCAATTCTTTCAAATGGCTTCAGGCAAATAAATGTTTAAATGAATGCAATCTGCGTACTTTTGTTCAGATTTTAAAGGCTTGAAGGATATGAGAATAAGAGAGCTCAGTTAATGCTAGGTAATAACAAAACAAATTGTCCAAAGAAAGCCAAAAATCGAAGAATGTCTGTTTATGTATTTAAACCTGATCAGCATTCCTTCCAGTCATCACTTGGTGATTTAAAGCCGGCTCTTGCTCAGGATCTTACTGAGGGGCGGACTTTTTCTTTCATTAACCAGTTCAGACATCACGTATGGTGTTGCCAATTTGCAAAGCATGGAAGACAGAGTAGATGCTCACCAAATACTTATGGAATGGTTAGTCCAGCTCACTGGAACAAGTTTTAACTCATTCTCTGTTGGTTATATGAATTGGAAGGAAACGTTGAAAACCACCTTTAGCAAAAGAGTCACTGCCAGGAGAGTCAATGGTATGGGGAGACCTTGATCCTGCTGGGTTCTCCTCCCATTCCTTAGTCCACAACTGTGTCAGTCCCCAGAGTGACATATTACTTGGTTTGAAAGATAAAAAGAGAGACTGATTTTCAAATCTAATGGTACCACCTGCAGAATGTGTATCAGAATTTTGGGAAGATTTTCCTGCCAGAGGAAAACTAGGGTCTTTTAAATATCTGGAGTTGATTGTAACTTTTCAGGGATGATATTTTGAAGTTTTATTCTATTACCTTTCAATTCCATTATCTTTTTGTCCTTAATAGTAAGTATAAAAATGGCATTTTTATCATCTACATATCTTACATTTTATCATATACATTTTATATTATATATAGTTTACCATATATATTATATATATATATATATATATATATATATATATAGTTTAGGTTAGAAAGCCAAATAAACTTCAAGGAGAGGAAATCCAATAACTTGACATGCAATTTAAATGACTATAGACCCAAAACACTCTAAGGAAGAAACTTGGACAAATAGGGATTAAAATAAAGCAACGTAATTACCACCGGGAGAATTTAATGAAATGCAGAGTTCTAGGGCAGATCTCTCTCTCTCTCTCTCTCTCTCTCTCTCACACACACACACACACACACACACACACGGTAGAACTTGGCTGTTTCTCAGAGCACCTCTTCATAAATCGTTTTACTTGATTTAGTTTTGTGGGAAGAAATGCCTTGCACACAGTAGGTCATTAATGAACATGTACTTACATATTATTCCAGTTTTACCAACAATCAACAGCATGATTAAGACACTTGCCTTTTACATTAAAATGTAAAGCTGGTGATATATGATCTAAAGTCTGTATCCAACAGGAGAATTTTAGTAGAACAGAGAAAAGTGAAAGTGGAAAATGGAGTATGTTTAAGGAACTTGCACGAACACTCCACAAAAAGGTATATATTCTGAGCTTTTCAGCTAGGATTCTTAATTAATGTCAAATAGCCGTTCTGGGCTGTAGTGATAGCAGTCCTTCCCTGCTAACAAGAAAAGTAAAAGGATAGCAACCATCTGAGTAGCATGTGGTTATGAGAAAATTCTTTTCTCTACTCTAGTTGAGTTGTTAGGGTTTATAACGATATTAACAGAGGAATGTTTTGTGAACTATTGCAAACAGATGTGCACATTTTGGTGGAATATTTTTAAACTATGGGAGAGCAATTAGGAGGGTAGCATTTAATTTACTGGGCTCTTTGCGTTAAGTTTTGGTTTGATAAACTTCTAATGAACTGAAATAGGAAAGATGTATCATTAATACTTAATGTAAAAATAGAAACTGCTTGAAAAATGGGCTGCGGAATTGCTGGCCCCACCATTTTGACTCCGAGGTAACCCAGCAGGCAATGATTGTTTTATCCAAACTTTACAGAAATGACCCAAAAAACTGCTGCAGAACATTTTGTTATGAGCAGTTCATTTTGTCAACTATCAGATGATCTGGTTAAGTTTTTAGGAAAACGGTGACATAAGGTTGGATGGTTATATGTAGAATTCCTATTCCTCTGACCCATTTTGTCTCTTTCAGTCCAAAAATATATTTGAACCTGCTGAAAGGCAAAACACTTATGTGTTGTTCAAGTACTTATAAATATTCTTGAAACAGGTCAATGAACATTTGGGGTTGGGCCCCTCCCACTTTTTTGAGTTACTCATCATAAAACAAATTATGGGGTAGGGAAACTTAAAAGTTTATGAGGTGGACAGGGGAAGAATGGAAATATTTTAAGCACACCAAAAGAAATACCCATAAATATTCCAAGTCACATTATTCCCAGAAGTTCTGCCCCTGGAAGACATCACATCATTCTGTTAGCCAATCACCATTCAGCAACATTATTCTTGGAGTCATAACTTTAGGAATGGTGTCAGAAACCAAGTGGGAATCAGAGTACTTAAGGTCAGCGGTTAGAAAATCATCTATCCTGCTCACAGCACTACTAAGCGCCAGTACCCACATTTCTCTGAACGCTTTCCTACATTTTGAGTTTGGGATTTTGAGACCAAGAAAATCAACTCAATTGAATGCAGACCTTGAACTTTACCCAGAAGAATATGCCTATTAGATTAAAATCTTAATTGCCAATCTTAAAAATGGAGTTGGTTGTTCTTCCTTGTTAGATAATAGCCTGCAAACTTGGTTGGTTTTTGTTGTTGCTGTGGTGCTGGTGCTGGTGGTGGTGGCGGGTTTTTTTTGGGGGGGGGCACCAGTGGAAAGAAAAATACAAAAATGTTTGAGTTGTAATACTTCCTGAAAAAAGACCAACAAAAACAGCAGTCCAGGTAATATTTTGTAATATTTTAAGATTCCATCTAGACCAATGGGGAACAAAAAGATTCAGTAGAGAGAACCCTGAAATTGACACAAACGGAATGTATATGTTTAGGCTGAATTGTTTTCTGCGTAATTCAAATGGCAGAAACCCCGGTAATGTGAGGAGATTGTTTTTTTGCCAACAAACACAGTGGATTAAAATGGATGCTAAACGGTTGTATGTTTTTAATAAACTCAGAATATAAATAATAGTTTAAGATCAAATAGTTACAGAGGCAAATATTGTTACCTAATTTGAAACAACACACGAGACAGAATAAAACTAAATAGCTGCTTAATGATACTAATAAAAACACAGTTGGAATATTTCCGACCTTCTCACAAGTCTGGGGATAATCTTTATTCAAGGGAATTAATTATGACATGAATTTCCAAGTGTTGTTTTCTAGTTAAATTTTTAAAAAGCTCTACCAAATTATTTCAAGAACGGCTAAAGAAGATTTAAGATCTAAATCGATAATCAATATTCATTTTTGTTTTTAAAATATATTAATTTGACTTATTTTAGTATTTTTCTCATTTGAATTCTAAAGTTTTAAAGAACATACATTTAAAAATGTAAACATATATTTAACCCTCTTTTATAGTCCTATGTTAGAAATAATTTTAAAAATCCTTTATTGGAGAATATTTACCTGGAAGCAGAACCCCATTCATTGAATTTTTTTCATGCAAAATTTTAAGGAGAAGAGATACGTGCATGACTACAGTATTAAACAAGAGTTACTTTAGTGTGATCAGCTAACTTTTAAAGCTTCTCAACAAAAATATGAAAAGCCTACCTAGCTATTTACTGACTTTCCTACTTTCTATTTTGCTATTTTATATCAATATTCAAATCGAATTGAAAATTCAGATTTGAATTTGAAGTGTTATGGTGATAATAACATTTATGGAGTTTTCTGTTTTTGTATTATAAACCAGAGCGGTTAAGCAAAGAAAGCTGGTTGAAACTTGCACCTATTCTACGTGGGTTCCATCTATTCCAAAAATGTAAAACAAATGCAACATGTATTTTAAATATTCCTGACAGACACGGCAACTTGTTTTAATTTATTTCAGGAGATTGTGGAGGATTGCAATGACTACTTTGGGACTTTTACAGGTTATTGGATATTACAATAATATAGGACATGTGCTGATATTCCCTGTCTTGAAAAGATTATTACAACATAGAAAATGTATATTCGTAAGAAAGTTTGGACTGTTTTAGGAAAATCGCTATGAATTGCCAAGTAATTCAGCTATGTTGTAGAGCTCAAACTTTATGGTGTCAATAGTCATTTAAATAAATATGTAAAAGGTAAATTAAGTTACAAATTGATTCCATTTTGAGAAAACAATATGAAAAACCAAAATTCATAAAAAAGGTTAATTAGATGGTGGTTCTTCAAATTTGCCTACCCTTCAGTCTTATATATATTTAAGTATTCATACATATAATACATCTTAGATTCTTATCTGCACTTATCATTTTTACAATGGATCTATATCACTTTATAATAAAATAACAAATTATCTTTTTAAAAACTTTGTTTTACCAAAATGTTAGTTAAGAGTTATATATTCCCGGATGTATTCAAGAATGCTTGCTAGAGAATGTAAGGACATAATGATAACATGTTTGGGAGTCATTGCTCACTAAAAATAGATTTTAAAAAATCAAAATGCAAATTTGAGACGGAATTTGATTCAGTCCCATTAGAAAGGCAGATTCTATAGACGTTAGTCTGGCTCTCTCACAAATGGAACACAATGACCCCAAAGGCACGTCTACGCCTATTATTTTATAATTAGTGTTCTGGGTGTACAAAGTACAAAATCACCAATACATTCTATAATCAGATTCAACTCCTATCAGACGGAGAACTGAAACTAGATCAATGTAGAAGTTATCCATATATAATAAACACACATACATATCATACATATGTATGACATATATATTTCTCAGACTACAAGTGTATGTTTTTCAAGTCATTGGACAGATGCATTCAGAAGTGTAATCCTAGTGTTATTTACTTAAAGGCACTAGATTTCATTCCATTTTCTGATACGTACCTGCCTTCCAGCTTCGTTGTTGTGCAGGTTCATTGCTAAAAGTACTTTGCTTTCTTTTCCTGTAGTGTTTCTGATGGGGAAATCTAGGAACTTTCTGCTGAACCACATGCCATACTGGACATCGTCGGAGCAGCCCCCCCAGTGCCAGCCTTCGCTCGCTGAACCGCCATTCTGTAAGGTGGTATCACAGGAGCACTCGGTCATGTTGCCTGCACTGCAAGACCTGGTCACAGAATGCACCAGGCCTGCTGCCATCACAGCATAAATAAATGCTGTTTCCTTGGTACCTAGAACAAAACATAAATTGCTGAATGAAAGAGCCAAACCTCTGTCTGTTTATGTTCACAACAAAGCTTCCTGTTCATCCTCTTAGCAGGGAAGCTGTTTTTCAATTGCTTTCAATGGATGTTTTTAATGAGGACATATTTAGGAAGGACGATTTCATAGTGTTTCAGTCTTTCAAAAAAGCAACATTAATTTTCAGTATTTCACTTGGGGGGGTTTATATATTGTGTATCGTAAATTGTCCTCACACCTTAGAATCATCTGTTTATTTTTAAAATTAAAAAATATGCCAACACCTAGCTCAGTGCTTAATAGACAATAAAAGTTCAATAAATATGTGTTGAATTTAAAATTCTATGCATGGATACCGCAAATGGTAATACAATGCCCAAAAGAGTCCAGATTACTTTTTAAAAAAATTATCATTTTGAATGTGTTCTCATGAAACACACGCTGAAAAATTTGGTGTGATTTTTGTTTGTATGTTGTATGCTGGTATGCAAATTAGGATTAAGCAAAGGCCAAAGCAATCAGTAGATGTTACAGTTAACTTTCATATCAAAAACCGTTCTTTTTTTTTTAAGGAAGACATTATAAATAACAATCACAAATATTAATATTAAACAGTTAAATATCTTATATATTACTAGCTCATCCTTTTACAGGCTGAAAGGCAATGAAAGGATTGAAATGTCACCAGAAAAATAAAAAAATAATTATTATAGAAAATCATTGAATACATATTTAGCACACCTACAATAACGATTGAGCTAAACTCTTTGCAAATTAAGGTCCTACCAAAACATTAGCAAAATGGACTAGAAGAGACTCAGCAGGTGACCTTTTTTCTTTTGAGATGTTAAGATTAGAGTTGCATGCCCGTTGTCCAATAAACCTTTCAACAGCTGATGTCTCTGCATTTCAGCAACTGAAACTTTTTTCTTCTTTTTCTCCTCCTCCTCCCCCTCCTGTTCTCCCTCCTTTTCCTTCTCCTTTTCCTCCTCCTTCTCTCTCTTCCTTCTTCCTCCTTCTTTTTCCTCCTTCTTCCTTCTTCACTTCTTTTTTCTTCCGCGGGGGTCAGGGCTCCTTCGGAAGGGCGTGCCGCCCAAAACGCAGCGGGGCAAGCGCAATGCTTTGGCGGCGATGTGTGCAGGGAACGTGTGGAGAAGGGTCCAAGGAGGAGGGAGAACGGAAACGAATGTGAAAAACAACAACGAATCCTTCTGCTCCCAGGTTCTAAAACTCTCTGAATCTGCTGAGATTCCTAGAACAATCCTGGTTCCCTGTGCCTTTATCCCTACCGAGTAACCAGGCACGTGGAAGTGGAACTTTTACTGCAGCTCCCCGCGCCGCGGGTGTGCTCCGAGGAGGGAAGATAGAGAAGGAAAAGAGAACAGAGGGGAGAGCCAAAGTAGTCGTGCTCGGGTGAGCCGCACGTTGAGTTGCCCAGGACACTCCCTTTAGAAACCAGCATTATTCTGTCTACCCCGCGCTCCGAGGTGCCAACAAACTCGAGGCTTCGCTGCAATTAGCCCCTTGTCCAGGGCTCGGTACGCAGCGGCGCTGGTTAAATCAAAGCAGATGCGGCGGCAGCATTCCCTGCAGCAGACATCATGTTTCTCCAGCTGGTCACCCACGTAGGGGGGCGCTACGGGGTCCGAGGGGTCGGCCGGGTGGAGTGTCAGTTTTTCTGTAACTCCTGCCCGGCGCCGCGGGAAGGAGGAAGAGCTACAGCTCCTAGCGCCCGGCTCCAGACCCGGGGGGTCACCCCCCTCCAGGACCGCACCTGCACCCGGGCCTGGCTTCCGTCACCCCCAGTTCTCGTCCACTAAAGGACCTCTTTTGGGATTTAGAGAGCGACGGACCACGCAAGCGCTACTCTGTTTACTGTACTTGGAGGAGTTGTCGCCCTCCATCCCGCGCCATCCCGGAGGGTCCCGGGACTTACCGCTGCTCAGCTCGTAGCCAAAAAGGGGGCTGGTGCCCGGCGGGGCGGCGGCGGTGACCAGGCAGTTCCACCTCTCGTGTCTGAACTGGCTCCTGCACTCCTGAATGCCCAGCCGCGCGCCCTCTCCGATGCTGGGCAGCAGGTACGGTTTCTTCTTGCACAGCTCCTTCTGGCGGCTGTTCAGCGGCAAGTTGGCGCAGCCCAGCTTCTCCGGAACCCCGAAGGAGGCGATGCCCAACCACCTGTAAGACACCGCCGTCCCTAGCGTGAGCCGCTCCCCAGCTCTCCTTTCCAATCCCAGATTTTTTCCGAAAACTGGGTCATCCGCCCTAGGAACCCCCCATCTTGCTCCCCCTCTTCAACTGAAAGTTCCCTGAAGCTGGGCACCCCTTTTGCCACAACCCGCGTGCGCCCCTACTGCCCCCATACTCACATCCAATTTCCTTGGGCTCCACAGGGGAACAGCGCGAGCAGGGCTGCCCACAGCGCGCACAGGCGCGACAGTCCCAGGAGCGCCGCTCTGTCCATGGCCCCTGCATGGAGTCCCCCAGCCCCAGCCACTCCTCTGCTCTCGCTCCCCAGGGGCCCGCCGAGCCAGAGGTCAGTTCCCCAGCACCGAGTTGTCCCTCGCCCTCTTTCCCCCTGCAGACAACATAAAAAGAAGGCCAGCGGTGATAAGGGCTCTCCGCAGCCTTCCCCTGGCTTGCAGGGAGCAGTGAGAGGAGGTGGAGAAAGGAGCCTGGGGCCCTCCTCCCGCGACGAGCTGGAGGTGTGCAGGAGGTGCGGGAGCGTCCCTCGCCGGAATAGGTGAGAAACTTCTGTTGATGTAGCTCTGTCTCCATCGCCCCCGGCCTCTCCTCCCATCTCCTCCCCCCTGGCCGCGCCTGGAGCCTGATTGGCCCAGCCTCGGCCCCTCATCTCATCATCCCCGGACCTCAGGCTCCCATTGGCTGCGAGCGGGCTCCGCGGGGGGCGCTCGGGCCCGCTGCTCCCGGACCGCGGGTCCAGACCCGGGTGTGTTCTCGACCTTTCCTCCTGTCACGGTCTTCCGCGAGCGGGGCCCTGCGGGAGGGGTATGGATTCAACCAGAAGACGGCTAGGGCCGCTTCTGTCTTAGCAACCCTGGGGGAAGGCGTGGGTCGAATGGGAGATGTTTGAGTACCACCCACCCGGCTCGCATTTGGATTAATTACCCTCTGGGTGGAGTGGCTGGAAAATCTCACTGCCCCCGTTACTTTCCTCTCCTTCACCTCGCCGGAGAGTAATCGTTTTGAGTCAGATACCAAACAAGTTGACCTTTCCACACTCTGCCTGAGGTCTCAACGTGTCAGGAGACTTTAGACGGGGGAAATGCTGTCGAGCTTGAGGTTGTCGTCGTTTAAATAGTTATTTTTAGCAAAAGAGAAGGTTCTGGCCTAGTGTCTAATCTACCATATTTAAATTGTGTTATGGGATTTCGTTTTCCCGGTTTGTCTTATTTTCGTTAGTCTTCTTTGAGAGCACTGTCAGAAGATGGAGGGCAGAGAAGGAATGCGTGAGAGAGCTTCTCAGAGAGCTTTTGAAGAGATGAGGCTTGAGTCCTTACCCTTATCTCGAGTCCATATTATGGCTCACGTGGAGACCTTGGACAGGGCTACACACTAAAGGCACGTTTTGGAAACTTACTTATTAAATGCCTACGTGTGCCCAGTGCTGGGGGGAATTTATAAAGACCATATCCCTTCCCTTAAGTTCACAAGCCAGCCACAGAGACAAGTCTAAAACAAAAGAATTTGAGATTTCAGTGAAGGAGAGGATAGAATCCAGAGAGGTACTCTTTGGAGCCAAAGAGAGTTCAGAAGCCAGAGAATGTCTGGTGGCTGGCGGTTTAGGAAGGTTAGCTAACCAGTGTTTTTCAGGATAGAAGATCTCTGCGAGAACTGTGAAGGCAAGTCGGGTATGCTTAGCTGTGGTATCCAGAAGCCTTGCTCTCCTTGTCGGTGACACAAAACTTTTCTGAGAGTGGTCACCTGCTCCCTAGAGGACTTCTGAAATGGCAGTAAATTCTCAGTTTAGACATACCAGCTTAGTGGGTGCCATAATCCAAACTTATTCAAATAAAAGATTGCCTTTGCTTGCATTATCCTCAAATAAAGAATTTTATTTGCTGCATATCTCCTATATAAGCCCAGAGCAGTAAAAGCTCACTGAAATTCCTATCCCATCCCATTCATTCCTTTATCCAACAAACATTTGTTGAGTGAACACCATGTACCAGGTCCTAAAGCCACATTGTAATTTTTAGAGAGTCAAGTTGATGATAGGGTGTAGTTACTGATCCAGAAATATTTTGGCTAATGGCTAGTGGCCTCGCTCAAAATCAGAACTTTCATCCAAGCTCACTTTATTCTGTGAGCCTCTCCAGGGTGGGGGGGGGATCATGGAGCACTCTGTGCTGTATCCCCGCCATTGGGCCCAGTGCATGAAATCTTGGTTTTGAACACAATTTATTGAGTGGATTAATGTGACAAGGAACGCCCTGGGCACATAGCTAAGTGGGCTAAACAATGAAACTAGAGAAGTGACTTCCTCTTTGGGGAGATGGGGGAGGGGAGACCATTAATACTTAGGGATTATTCTGTCCATACTTCTAAAGCAAAGGATACTTATTTCCAGGCGTGGGTAGAGTTGAAGAAATACCCTTTTCATTCAATGAACAGACATTTGGGGGCTTTTTTTTTTTTTTTTCCCCTGCCAGGCATTGTGAACTCATGCACTGAAACCCTCACAAGTGCCTCCAACATTCAATCTCCTTCTTTCTCTCTCCACATAAAATTTCAACCCTACCCCGCCCCACTGGTACTCATTTTATAGATTAAAAAAATGAATTTGGAAAGGTTAAACACTTTCTCAAGGTCACTCAGCTAAGAAGTAGTAGAATCAAAATTCACTCTTATTTTAGAGGCCTTGTTCTTTCCACCGCCATAGACTGCTGCCTCATCTGATTCACAACTTTTTTTTTTCCCTGATTAAATCCCACATCACTAGGCGTCCAGATCTAAATTTCTCTTTTGTGCCCCATGGTTCTTTACATCACAGTTCACAGATATCTCCATCAAAAGAGAGGTTCTGGGGGCGCCGGGGTGGCTCAGTGGGTTAAAGCCTCTGCCTTCCGCTGCTCGGGTCATGATCCCAGGGTCCTGGGATCGAGCCCCGCTTAGGGAATCTCTGCTTGACAGGGAGCCTGCTTCCTTGTCTCTGTCTGCCACTCTGTCTACTTGTGATCTCTCTCTGTCAAATTAATAAATAAAATCTTAAAAAAAAAAGAGAGAGAGAGAGATTCTGTTCTCTGAAGATAAACCCCACAGTGGGTCTCCATTACGTGGGTCTCACTGAGACAGATGTCAGTCCACACAGACTTCTGCCCTTTGCCCTTTCTTCGCTCTCTGGTTTCTGTGGGGCCAGTAGGAGCTGTGCAGACAGCAGTGGGTGAATTGGGTGGTTGAGGTGCCCACCTGTCAGCCAGTTACAATCTTAGGCAATTAATGTCATCATTGAGCCTCAGTTTTCTCACCTTTAAGAGGACAACAAACTCTCTTTCAGATCTCAATCTCCTACTAGGTTCCAGTAGGGCTGGAGGGAGGGAGGTGGTGCGTGTGTGGTTCAATGTGTGTGTGGTTCAATGTGTGTGTGTTTGTGTTGTGTGGGTATGTGCTAATGGGGGGAGGTGACTGCATTTGCTGATGGATTTGCACTCCCAGAAGGAAGAAACCTTAGTCATTGACAAGGCATGTCCACCTGAGTGATGGCCCAGTCTCCAGGATGGCACAAACTAGAGTTTTTTAGCCCCAGTTTTTGGCTTCAGTTCAAATTTTGTTTCTGAATTTCAGTGAAAATGAATTCTTTTAATCGCAGAAATCTTTTTAAACAGTTGAACTTTACGTTATAATCTTGTCAGGTCATATGAAATTTTATTTTAAGGATAAAGGAAGTTACAGATATTTTATTTATTCTGGAACAAGAAGGTGAGGGGTCTTTCATAATCTAATTTATATCTCTAATATAAAGTGTTTCATTTCTACTATCATGAGTGAGGTTTATACTATTCAGAGAGAAATAGAAACATATGCATAACTGCACATTTCAAATTTTTAATTTTTTAAGTAGCAGGCAGGAGCCTTCTTTCCTATTTATTATTTTCAGTTTCATAATTTGGAGGAAGGACAAAATATTAACCAGCCAATAGAATATGACCTGATGGTTTACTGTGTTCTGCACCTTTCCAAGCTTCAGGTACCCGTATCTATAAAACATTGCAAAGATCATACCATTCATCCTTCAAAATACCAACTGATACTATGTCATTTCATGATCTGATCCCAGCTACCTAAAATTTGATCAATGCTAAGAAAAGCACCATGGGACTCCAAGTTTGCACAGGTCACCGGAGCATCTGCAGCTTCTTGATTCCACAAGGCAATTGTGTATTTGAACCTGTTTTCCTAGCAGGGTAAGGAGTTTTGAGCTGTATTCCAGAAAAGGATATTTAGGAGGAGAAAGCCAGAACTCAAGCACATTCATTCATCCCAAAGAGCTCTCTTAAGGGACTGAATCTGTCGTTACCGGAGTCATCTTTGACAAGCTGGGCCCACTGATAAGTCGTTGGCTGGTAATAAATCCTACTGCCCACTCAGTGCAGTCTTAGATTATTAGTTGTAGAACCCAGAGGAGCCTGTTCCTTCTGGTAGTTTTCTCTCCGTCCCTGGGAAACTCAGCAAAAAGTCTGCCTGCACAGATATGCCTTGGACTCTGCCTCTGGCAATCCATCAGAGAACGAGACTTCTAAGGGCCCCGTTGTAAGAATTTCTGCTGCAGATCACAGAGACTTATGTACTGGAAACTGATACCAGAAGCACCCCAGCTGGTCTTAACTCCCACGATAGAACAGAAGACCAGAGGTGACTTTTTACATAACTGGGTCCCCATCCATTCTATTTTAAATTTCACCTGGAGGCTATCAGTGTGTGGAACAGAGCACAGGCTTGTGACTGTGGCTGTCAGGCGGGGGCGGAGAATGGCATTCTGGATGTCCTGTTGTCCTTTGGTGGCCTGAAAAGCCAATAACAGTGACGGACTTGGAGCCGCAGAGGCCGCTGTCTCATTGGAATGAGGGAATAAAACACCATCCCTGATGAACGAGAGAGCGGTCACTATTGCCCGAGGGCACAGGGAAGCAAAACACACAAAACTGAAAGACCTGGAGAATATCGATTCTCTCAACCACTCTTTTCAAAAAAAAATTTTTTTTTTGAATTTTGTAAAACAAAGCAACTAGAGTGAGTTATTACTGATTTTAATAAGGTGTCAGGAAAACTACTTCAAAAATCCGGAATTTATGTTTTTTAGATTACTATTGATAGAGCGATCCCTGGGCTGTCTATAATGGAAAAAACAAATTGTCTCTTCTTTTCCTTTTTAGTAAAATTGAGCAACCTTGACTTTTAAGGGAGAAAACTTTGGAGGGAAGAGTCTTTTAGAAAGATTTGCCT